TACAGTTACCAAGTACTCTTCCACTTGGGTTGATATTATTTATAAGTTGAGTACTTGCAATCAAATTCATATGATATACTTTACTCATTGAACTTAAGACTTGAAGTTTTTATCAAGCGTTAAGTCGAGATGCCATCATGTGCGACTTTTATCAACGGACTTGAGATCCATCCCTATAGATGTTTTATATACTTTCTTTCTTGTTAATCCTTTTGTTAAAGATTCTGCTAAATTTTCACTAGACTTTGCATAGTCTATGGTGATTATCCCATTAGTGATTAATTGCTTTACATAACTATGTCTTAAACCAATATGTCTAGACTTTCCATTATATACTTGGCTATATGCTTTTGCTAATGTAGCCTCATTATCACAATGTATTGAATTAAGGACATTGGCTTTGGCCATAAAGGAATTTCCTATGGTAAATCTTTTAGGTAAAATACCCAAACCCACCTCCAAAGTATAGTGGTAAGGACAAATCTACCCGCGAACAAAAAAGAGAACAAATCTACCCACAAAGTTTTTGACTTGGACAAATCACCCAAATTTAACGTGTGACGTCATTTGACGTCAGTAATCCGTCAATTTATTATGTCACTAATAACAGATTGTTGATGTCAAATGACGTCAAATTAACAAATTATTTACGTCAGATGATGTCATATGTTAAATTTGGGGTGATTTGTTCAAGTCAAAAACTTTGTGGGTGGATTTGTTCTCGTTTTTTGTTTGGGGGTGAATCTATCCCTGCCACTATATTTTAGGGGTGGATTTGAGTATTCTACCAATCTCTTAACCATTCCCCTTCTTTACAAGCAAAGTTTAAGGCAATAAACTCAACTGCCATGGTGTAGTTTGTCAGGCAAGTTTGCTTCTTAGATCCCTAAGAAACAACACCCCCACCAAATATGAAAATCCATCTAGTTGTGAATTTATGATCCTCATGATCCATGATCTAACTAGCATCCGTAAAGCCTTATAGTATGGAAGGATAACCATTATAGCAAATGCCATAATACATAGTTTTTTTGAGATATTTTAAAACTCTATGTATTCCTTACTAATATAAGGAACTAGGATTACTTGAGTATCTACTAAGTTTCCCAATAACATATGCTATATTTAGTCTTGTGCAAATAATTACATACATCAAGCATCCAATCACTCTTGAATACTCTAATTGTGCAATTGGTTTTTCATCATTAGATGTTAACCTTACATTAGGATCAAGAGTTGTAAAAATAATTGCACAATCATAAAAATTAAATTTTTGCAAGACTTTTGCTATAGAATGGGATTGAGAAAGGATTAAATTAGCACCATCTCTATGTATTTTATTCCCAAAATCACATTAGTAGCACCCATGTCTTGAATGCAAAAGTTTCTAGACAAGAACCTTTTGGTTTCTTCAATTTGTTCTATGTTGGTACCAAAGATGAGCAGGTCATCTACATATAGGCATATAAGAACTCCTTGTCCATTTTAAGCTTGCTATAAACACATTTAGCTGCTTCATTTAATTTGAAGCCATTAGTAAGTACCACTTCATCAAATTTTTGATGCCATTGTTTAGGGGCTTGCTTAAGTCCATACAAGGATTTTATAAGCTTGCAAACTTTCTTTTCTTGACCAAGCATCACAAAACCTTCTGGTTGCTTCATGTATACTTCTTCATCTAATTCACCTTTTAAAAATGTTGTTTTAACATCCATTTGGTGAACTACCAATTTGTAAATTGATACCAAAGCAATTAATACTTTTATTGTGACCATCCTTTCTACTGGAGCATCGGTATCAAAATGATCCATATCATGCTTTTGTGAATAGCCTTTTGCCACTAATTTTGCCTTGAATTTTTCTATTGTACCATCAACTTTCAGTTTCTTTTTGAAAATCCATTTCCAACTTGTAGGTTTGCAACCAGGTGGGAGATCCACTAAAATCCATGTGTTATTCCCCATTATGGAACTCATTTCCTCATCTATGGCTTCCTTCCAAAAAGCTAAATCTTGTGACCTAATTGCTTCTTGAAATGTCACAGGATCAGCTTCTATCTTATAACAAAATTTAGTTGCTTTCCTTGTCTTTTCTCTTGTTCCTTCAATAAGAAACATGTAACATTCTGGACCATATGTTCTGGCTTTTCTAACTCTTTTTCTTCTTCTAACTTCAATGTTTTCTTTCAACCTGTCTTCTTGCAAGTTATCTTCCATTCTTTGTTGTGAACTTTCAACAATTGTTTCTTTAGGTCTAGGAATTGAATTAAGTCTACTCTCTTCAAATATAGCATCTCTTGATTCAATTATGGTGTTGAGATTAATTGAATCATTTGGTTCAATGACCATAAATCGGTATGCCTTATTATTTTTTGCTACCCCAAAAATATACATTCAATTCCTTTCTCACCTAACTTTTTCCTTTTGGGTTCAGGTACCTTTACAATTGCTCTACAACCCCAAACTCTCAAATAGTCAAGATTGGGTTTTCTTTTCTTCCAAAATTCATATGGGATAACCTAGCCTTTTTTACTAGGCATCTTAGTCAATTTATGCCATGTTGTTAGCAATGCTTCACCCCAAAACCTTGACTTAATCTAAAATTTGATAACATGGCATGCACCATTTCAATTAGAACTCTATTGTTACGTTCTGCCACACCATTTTGTTGTGGTGTGTATGAGGCTGTTATCTCATAAATAATCCTAATGGATTCAAAGAAGATGGATCATAATTTTGTCCACCTCTATTAGTTCTTAGATTTTTGATAAATGTCTCACTTTGCAATTTCACTTCTGCTTTATCAACTTTGAATTTTTCCATTACCACATCTTTTGTATTTAACAACTAAACATAACAAAATTTTGAATAATCATCAATAAAAATAACATAATATTTCTTGCCACAAATGGTAGGAGTACTATGCATGTCACAAACATCACTATGTAGAAGCTCAAGCAATTTAGAAACTCTTTCAATCTTATGAAAAGGAATTCTAGTAATCTTAGTAACCATACATGTCCTACACTGTGATTCATTTTTAGGCAAGGTTAGAATTAATTCTAATTTAGACATCTTAGGCATCTTCCTAAAATTAACATGTCCTAATCTATAATGCCATAAATTAAATAAGTCAAGAATGTAAGCAGAAACAATACCCTTATTATTAGTATTATTAGTAATGTTCATCTGAACATGCCTTCACAAGCGTAACCTTTTCCTACAACAATCTCATCCTTGGACAAAATAAATTTGTCTACCTCAAATACAAGTTTAAAACTAAATTTGTTCAACAAACTTGCTAAAACTAGATTTTTCTTGATATCCAACACATAATGCACATAAGTGAAAATGAGAACTTTTCCAAAAGTGAAAATGAGAACTTTTCCAAAAGTGAACTCAAGGTCCACGGTTCCTTTGCTTTTCGCTTACACTACTGCAAAATTTTCCACATGTAGCACACTCCTTTCAAGTTTTGGTTTTAAAGTCTTGAATAGACTTTTGTCCTTGCAAACATGCTTTATAGCACCAGAATCTATCCACCAAGCAATGTCATGTTCCATGAGATTAATTTCAAAATCACAGCAATGAATTTGTCATTTGATAATGTCGGTGCATTCCTTTTTTTCTTGAGAAAATAACACTCCCTTTTGAAGTGTTTAGTTTTTCCACAATGGAAACATGCAACCTTTTGCTTCTTAAATTTTTGGTTTTTCTTGACGGAGCATTCCTTCGTCTTGAAAGGCTTTTGGGCTTACTTGAAGTTTCTTCCTCCAATACGTGCACATTCGAGACTTGCACTTTCTGCTCCTTTTCATTTTCTACTCTATATTGCTCTTCAAGTCTTAAATGGTTAACAAGATCTTTAAGAGAAATATCTTCCTATTTATATTTTAATGTTCTCTTGAAATCTTTCCATGCATGAGGAAGTTTATCAATTATTAAAGACACAACAATGGATTCATTCATCTTCATATCATATTGCTTGAAACTATTCAACAACTTTTCAATTTCATCTGGTCACTAGAAAGTTTTTACTAGTTGCATCTTCATTTATATATCTTGCTTCTAACTTATCCCACAATTCTTTTGCAGTAGACTCATGAACATAAGTATCAAAAATGGAATTAGATATACCATTTAAGATGCAGCCTTTACACACATAATTATCATTTTCCCATTTTCTCCTTTTCCTTGTTTCTTGCAAAGTTTCATTCTCATTTTCCTGTGGTCGAGCATCAATGAGAATATAAATGATGTTGAGAGTTGTGAGAAGGATGTGCATCTTGCATTGCCATCGAATAAAGTTGGCCCCATCAAAGCAATCTAACTTTTGGAAATTAAGAGCCATCTCACACAAAGTTACAGCCATAATTACAAAACAGTAAATTAGCCTAAAGATTGTTGAATAAATAGGGTAGAAAATATACCCTATTTATTCAAAAAGCTTCAAGGCGTGTTGCAGATATCACTTTCCTTTAGGCTAATTTCGCCTCCACCAGATTTAGTATGCAACAAGGATAAACCAAAATACTTGTGGGATACAATGAAGCACTTTGTTGATCTTGCTTTTGCACTAGCAAGATCAACCAGTAAACTATCCTTTGGAAAATGACAAAACAATAGTTTTTGTATAGGAATTTCTGCAACAATTGTAGTAACAAAAAAAAAGGATTGTTTTATTTAGATAATAGTAAGGATTTGTTTTTGGGTTCAAAAGACAAAGAAGAGGAAGAGATAACTCCATATTTATTGGGGCAAGATGTCTATTGAGAATATACACTCCTTTTTAGTTTATTAACTGATAATATTTGAATTTTTGTTAAATTTATCCATTGGAAACTCTTCCAAAAGTCATTTGGTTTGATTTGAATTCCAACTCACGTGTTTTCTTACTTTCTAAAGTTATCCACTCTTCCTTGAGAAACTTATCAGACTTCTATCTCTTATTTCTAACGTAAATGGTTTGAACCATATAAATGTGATTTGAACTAAAATCATACTTTTCGAATTCTGATTTTACATAAACAATTCAAATCATATTTATATGATTTGAACCAAAATCATACTTTCTTAAATACATTCCATACAATTTTTGCAAATCAACTTTTTATGATTCAAACTCAAATCCTAGAACTATTTTGAAAATTCTTCGACAGGAAGTCTATTTGTGGATGCATAGTTAGCCCAGACCATTATGTTCTGAACTTAGTAATTGTGAAAAAGGGTGAGAATGATCTCCTTGGGTTGACTAACACTGAGAAACCAAGAATGAGAGGCCCCAAGAGGGGATCAAAGATCCGCAAACTCTTCAATCTTTCCAAGGAGGATGATGTTCGGGAGTATGTCAATACCTACCGCCGAACATTCACAACAAAATCAGGTTGATTTTTTGCCATCTTTTCTTTTTCGGTTCTTTCATTTACTGCTAGGCTGGATATTAAGTTGCTTTACTTTTTAGACGCAAAATAGTCCATACTTCATGTTTTGACCTGACATTTCATTAAACGTATCCAATGTAAATGGATTTTCATGTCTTGTATGGGCTATTTAAAGCGTTTATCTGTCTGAAAATTCGTTTTGTTAGAGAAACAATATTGTGAGTGGACGAAAAAAAAAACTGTGTTTTGGTTTCCATGCTTTATTTTCTAAGTTGGGATGGTTTTTTGGTCATTCAGGGAAAAAAGTCAGCAAAGCTCCCAAAATCCAGAGATTGGTTACCCCATTAACTTTGCAGAGGAAGCGAGCAAGGATTGCTGATAAGAAGAAGAGAATTGTCAAGGCCAAGGCAGAGGCTGCAGAGTATCAGAAGCTCCTTGCTACAAGATTGAAAGAACAAAGAGAACGTCGAAGTGAGAGATTAGCCAAGAAAAGGTACGGGCTCTCTGCTGCTTCTAAGCCATCTGTTGCAGCTTAAGTTCCACACTCTCTAGTACTGTCATGTCCTGGTGGCAGGTCCAATATCAATGAAATCCCTTTTTCTTTTTTCTTTTTTTTCAAAGAAGCTTCTCCATGACTCTTTTCAAGTTATTCGATGCTTGCAAGATCACAAGATTGTTGGATCATTCAACCTTGAAATTTTGATAATTCACTTCCAATTTCTTTCTGAAGTTAGCACTTATATTCTACTTGATACTGTACTGGTGAGATTCTCTATAAATTCTCGTGCTGGATGAAAATTTTGAACCTGGATAAGTATGGTGTCACATATTTTAGAACATTTGTTTCGGTAACATGCTGGATTGCTTTCTTATCATAACTAATTAAATTATGGACAATGATTTTCCAAAAACTTATTATATTTTCCTTATAGAATTTTCTCTATTTGGTTAGCAAACGGTTTAGAAGGGAGGGGGGTAGGATATTTCTATCTGTTTTCTTCAAACTAAACATACTAAAAATTACTTTAATTAAAAAAAAAAAACACCCATTGGTGCTGTTATTTTGTGCTCAACAAGAAGGAAAAAAATAACTTTTTAATTGTATAATTCTATTGTCATAAATTACACGTGAATCGAATACAAAATAATGTTTTTGGTACATGAATACAATCAAATAATCAGATCATCAATTATTCAAGATGTCATGTGAAGCATGGCTATTTTGCACGAATATTAAAATAAATGAAATGCAAAGACCGATCATTGATCAGGCGAATCCCTGGTAATCATTTAATTCTCCCCATACAGTCTGCTCAATCGCTTCCCATGACTTTGCCGTTCTAAGTTCCTTCCATATACCAAAAATTGTACTCAAGATATCCACATTCACATCATGCAAAAGACAGTAGCACCTGCAGTTAGTCAAACACCTTACTGTTAATGCTTCCTGCCTTCAGTTACACCAAAAAGTTAAGTTGCATGTCAAACATGATAATGGGAATGAATGATATCCGAAACAAAAACACAGGTAAAGTTTTGCATATACAAGCAATAGCTCTTATTATTTCACTGGAAATAGAGAAACAGAAATGACTGAGGCATGCAACCATGCAGGACTAAGTAATCATCTTGATTTCTTGTCCATTTTGGATATTACTTTAGAGTAGTTTCATAAAAGTTTTTCTTCCTTTTTTTTTTTTAATCTAGTATTCTCAATGCCAGCTATACCATAAAAAGATGAGAACGTGAAAGTAAAACAGAGATTATTACTCACATGGCATGATACGATAGACGTCCAAACTTGTCACCATTACCCCATGACTTGTGCTTTGCAGTTCCTCTCACCAGAGGTAGTTTATAGCTTTGGAAAAACTGCTTCAGGAGACGAGAATCACCTCTAAAGACATCTAAATGTATAGGTATCAAGTCATTAATGGGGTCACCTGCAAAAAGATCAAATCCAAGTTAACAAACAAAAAGATGCTTTATTCTTGCTTTATTCTTCAAAGGTCATACAAATACATTACAGGAGCATTGTCTCAATTGCTATTTCTTTAAACCGAATGAGACTGATTTGGACTAACATGATTATGGACAAAGCATTTTCTTGTATGCAAGAAATGTAAAACCTTTTTTTTCCTCTTTTTTACCTAAAAAAGGCCCTGAAGTTCAATCAGGATGAATGTCTATAAAAGAATTCTACACAGAAAAGGAAAGATGAATCAGGTGGTAGAGGTTCATTAACTTTCATGACTCAAATGGTGATAACACATAAGGAGTGCGTTTTGAGTTTTTAGTGTATGTGCATATCTTATGGTAAGCAGTATGGTACAGATGAATACATTGAATAAACACTGCAAACCAATGAAAACCACTAACCTATAGAAAGATCAGTAAAATCAAGAAGATAACTAGGACGCCATGATTTTCCTTCGCCACCATCATCACATGCATCCATTGGAACATTCTCCATCAAGGCAGCATCTAAATTGCCATTTGAGCAAGATCTAATGCCGCATGGTTCCATGTAGATGTTATCATCCATAATATCTGAGTGTAACCAGGAACAAGGTTTACCAACTCTTTTCATGCTATTTTCATCCTGAAATGAAATATCATCAAAAGGTTGGAAAAAGAATAATAGCTAGTTTTGGATGAGGGAATAAGCGGTTCAACATAATCTAGTTTCTGCAACAACTAAATGGATAAAACTTGAGTGAGCAAAGGGAAAAGGAAAAAGAGAGAGAAAGTGGGACTCGGAAGGGCAACATACCTCAAAGATGCAAAGCAACTTTACAAAATCATCTGGCAGGTATTCATCAACTTTCTCTATCAGTGTCTTAAGACTTGGATCTCCCCTGCAATTGAGGTGCTTGAAAGGGTCAAAATGAATCCTATGATGCAATATAATTAGTCCAGTTGTACTTGTCATGGTTTTCATTGACAAAGATCATTCAGTTGGCTAAGTAGAAAACATATAATTGATAAAACTCAAATGTCAAATACCAAACTGGTTTGATCGTATCTGACAACTGACATGCTATTTACCTTTAAGAAGTCTATACCAGTTTTTAAAGATGACAACAATTTAGCACACATAATCACATTGAATACACAGAAATGTTATATATCAATGGGAAATTTTCCAGAAGATTTTGCCAAGGGAGTTTCTAGTAGTATGAGAGAAGTTTTCAAAATTTTGCACATGTATGTGTGTGCTTGTCTGTGTGGATGCAGAGTGGAGGTTTTACTATGCAGAAAATCAGTTTTGACAATATACAAGGACACAAACACAATGTCCACTGTGCACATTTAAAAGAGACTAGGTATGTAATGCATAATGTGGTCTTAAGTTTTTAGCATGGTACAAGGCAGTGAAAACATAATGGAAGGGCAAAAGGACAAAGTTTATCTGTCAAAACAAATGTGATAGTTGCAATAAGAAAAATATGCTGCTTTGGCAAATTAGAGAGCTATACCATTTAACCAAGCGGCTTGCAGCATCCTTCTTCTTCTGTCTTAGGGTTCTGATGAAGATTTGCCATTCAAATGGGATAGCTGCTTCATAAGAGACATCTTCCATGCCATTGGTAAAGGACATGTCTATTTTCTGTTTAGTGTCTAAGAAAGCTGAAGGAAAGAAACGTGGATAGGGCAGGGAATGAAGGTTCCGTAGCTGCTCTCCCAGAAAGGAAGCTAAGTTTAGCGTCTGTTCCCATGACAGCGCATCTCTTCTGCATTATTAAAACAGCAAACACCATATTAATAATTGCATCAATGCTGTCAACATCTTTAAATCTAGAAGTTCATAAAGATTTGAACAAAAATAAAGAATACATAAGATAAAGAAAGCTCACATCTGGGCAAAGATCTTCCCTTTGCAACGTTTTGTTATAATATAAGGCCATATCTTTGGGAATTCAACTGGCCTGTTCGATACACTTGAAGATGACCCAGATTTTCTATACTCAAACAGTTTCCTGGCCCACACACCAAAAGGGAAACCATCTTCAATGTATTTTGCTGGAACCAGATTGCACCTCCGAATAGCATCAGGCACTTCTTTACCATCCCAAGGCACAATTTTGTAAGATCCATTTTCCAAGTAAAGTATTCCACTAGCAAAAACTTCAGGAATGTGGTTTTTCAAAGGGGAATCAATTTTGCAAAGTGCACTATAGAATTCAAGCTGCAGAAAAGGAAATGCATCAATTACAATTCCTGAAAGTTAAGTGAACAAGAAAAGAAATTAAAATCATACCTCAGTGCCTAAACCATAAATTGAAGATTCAAGCCCTTCTTCAACATAGAATTTGACAACATGATTGGCCATGACACACACCTGTTACCCAAAAAAAAAAA